GATGCTGACTCAGATATGCCAATGTAGGAACATCAAGACATTCTAGCAGCTCAAATTGGCTGCATTCAGCACTGAATGAAATGGCAGCACATCAAGATCATTTCAGTATGCAGTGCTGTCACAGGCTTCACCGGGGTGCAAACCAAAATAATCTGACAGAGCTTTTCTGCCCATATTTACAGCATTATCCTTCACTGGAGCTGACAGCTTAAATTTGCCCCTTCATTTCATCAGCACCCTGCCTTCACAGCTTCTACACCAAGACTTAAGTAAATATCTATCAGAAACTCCAATATAAAAACCAGCAAATTTCCTCCAGCTTTTCCTTTCACATTTGCTCCAAGAGGTTTAATTTCTCTGCCCCCTGACTATAGCCACACAATCCAGTTCCATCAGTTCCTGATTTTTCCCAGTTGCAGCCTCTCTGGCCTCTCCTGGCTGTAAACTCACCTGAACCACACACAGCTGAACACAATCCCACTCCTGAGTGTCTACTCCAGACACCCTTCAAAGGAAGAATCCTACAGTAGTATCAGGTGTACCAGCAGCGAGCTGTGAGGGCTGTGCTCATCTCTTGCTGGTTCCAAGGAAAGCTGCTCCAACAGAGATGAACCAGAAAAGCCTTCTCTGGTTAAAGATGTGGGATAGAGAGAGCAGGTATTCCTCTCAAGTGGCATGTTCTCATTGTCAGTTCATAAAAATACAGTAATTCCCCTTTTGCACAAGTTATCTCCCCCATGCTGAACCTCCCCCTCGGAGCACAGCAGCTCCGTGGCTCTGTGGTGTGCCTGTTCATTCCCAGTTCACACCTGCACCTCCCTACCAGCTTCACAACTGCTGAGGAAAACCAGTGGTCTAAACACAGCCCCCCAGTGCTCAAATCCAGCAGCACCAGACAGGCCTTTCACTGTGCAAAATAAACACTGATTCTGCTTCCTTAAGGAAAAAAAGGACATAAAACCTGCACAAACAACACTGCCTGTACCACCTGTGTTCACACAGTTTCATTTCCCTGCCTTCAGCTAACACTCTACAGAGTTTCTGCAATAATCAAGGAATTAATTGTATCTCCACTGCACCTATGGAGTTGGGTTTATGCTCCTATGCTGTTGGGTTTATGAAAACAGTGCTGGCTACTTCCAAAAGACAAAAGTGAAAAGGATTTCAATGTACAGGACTGTCACCCTTCTATAAAGTGAGAAGACACGGACAGACAGCGAAACATGAATCCCTAAAAAGCACTAGGTCTGGTTTGTGGGTTACAGGCCCCTCACCCTGACCAGTTAAGGGTGTGGGTCAAACTTCATCCCTCTTTGGCAGGTAAGAGAAAGCAAAAACAGGCACCAGCCCCAACAAATAACCCAACCTCTATCCCAAAACCCTCAAAATACCCCCTTCAAGGCAGAGAATCCCAGAGGGCCCAACCTGGACTCCTCCTGCTCTCTGAGGTGTCACAGCAGCTGAAGCACAGACCTGCTGGAGGAGTCAGTAATAAACCCCCGTGTGCCAGAGAACACCCAGCTTTCCCCCAAAACAGTATGAGCATCTGTCCATGGGATGATAACAACGAGCAAAGGTGATAACGTAACACAATCAAAGAGCAAAGGTGATAACACAATATACCTTCTCGATAAATGCCACAGTTCAGACAGGCTCGGAGACAAGGAATATTTTTCATAAAGTTCGTGTGAGAAAAATACTTCTTTGCCATTTTTTGGTGTAATATCCCTAATTAAAAAAAAAACAAAAACAAACAACACAAATACATTGCAATACAAAAAAATCAAAGGCCACACCTGCCCCCAAGAAACAAAACCCAGAATAATTTATAAAACAAAAGAGGATGCCTACACAGTGTTTCCAGATTTCCTCTTTGTGGAAGTTACAGACATACTAGTTCCATCTGGTTTTCAATAGTAAAATACACATTCCTTACAGTACAGAAGAACAGTTTCACTAATGCAATATATAAATTCTAGATGCGGTGAGAGAAACTGATGGTAGTTACACACTTTCATATGTTCATCAAAGAAAACCAAACTTTGGGTTGAACTTGCTGGAATTTTTGCGAAAGATACACCGTTTTCTCTTGTTTTTTTTTTTTCTTTTTTTTTTTTTTTTTTTTTTCAGAAAAGAGTTGGTTTTATTTTCTACACTGATCTTATCTTCAATATTTTTTTTTTTAATGTAGCCCTTCCAGTGCACAGGGTTTATACGACACCAACCTTCCTAAGTTATTGTGAAAGGTGTATGAAAGGATTTATTTACGTCTTACCTCACAAACTAATTCAAACCCATCACACACATACTAATTCAAACCAATCCCACCCCTCGGTTAAAGGAGCCGAATTACGTCTTTGCGGGGCGTTTCGTGTTAGAAACACGAACAACGCCACGGCCCCGGATTTCCAAGCCCTCGCTGTCCCTCCGCCGTGGGCACACACGGACACAGAGCCCCTCAGGGAAGGGATTCCGCTCCTCCCGCTCCCGCGGCGGGAGCGACCAGGAATGGCTGGCACACCCTCCCGCCCGCCCTCAGCGCCGGGACGGCGCCGGACGGGGCGGGGACTGGGTCTGCCGCGCTGCCGCAGATGCGGGGGCTGCTTCTATCCCCGGCGGGGCATCAGGGGGCCTGTTCCCGCTGGCCCGCGTGTCCCGCTGCCCCGGCTGGCCGCCGGCACGAACAGCTCACTCACCAACTCAGCGGCGGCCCGCGCCGGCATCTTGACAGCCCCCTCACACGTCACGGGGGCAATCAAGCGCCGGCGGCGGTCACTGTCCGAGCCACCATAGGGCGCGGCGCGGCGGCGGCCCAGTCGGCCGCAGTTACGGGGGCGGGCCGGGTGAGGGCGCGGCGGAATTCGTCGGCGGGTCCCTGAGCGGCACGTCCCGCCCCGGGTGTGCAGAGGTGGGGCCTTGAGCAGCCGTGTGTGCCCTGAGCAGGGGGCGGGTATCCCGGGCGGCACCGATGGCCGCCCAGCCTGTCCCTCAGGGGTTGGGGCCATCTATGAGGGCTGAGGTGCCCCGTTCCTCAGCTTCGTTCCTCTCCCCGCCGTCCAGTTTCCCTGGATCACTTCTCGTTTGTTATCTCGTGGGCAGAGCCACAAAAGTGTTGGGTTTTTTGGTTGTTTTTTTTTGGGTTTTTGTTTTTTTTTTGTGCTGATGATCAGGCTTCCCGGGGTGGTAAAATGTGGAATTCGGGTATTGTCAGGACCCATAGGTTTGGGTGATGAAAACTCGTTTGCCTGCAATGCTACAACAAAAAGGTGACCCGTCATTGCTCCACAGGTGGGGAAATGAAGGGCAGTGAGGATGGGACATGGAGCAGTGTCCCCCTGGTGTCCTGTGACTAAAACTGGGCTAATACATGGGAACACAGAGATGATTCAGAATGATTTCCAAACCCACCAACAAGGGGGGGGGGTCTTCAGCTTCCCTGCAGATCACTTTTAAGGACACTGATTTTAATTCTGCCCTCTCTCCATTTGTGTATCTCAGAGGAGCACGAAGGTTTCTTGTCCCTGCTGGACCCATCCAGAGCCCAGTGGTGGAGCCTCCGAGGAGAGATCTCACTGCCCAGCCCAGGTATGGCAACAGTGACACAGCTGAATGACAAGGAGGCTTATGTTGGTGAATGTGGCAGGTTAAATCCTACTTCAGGCTGCATCTCTAAAACCTGCAGTGTCTGCTTTCTGTTGTGGTTTTTTGTTTGGTTTTGTTTGGGGTTTTTTTGGTTCTTTTTTTTTTATAAAATGGTGCTACTTCCTACAGGTGATCTTTTTCCTTCCATGGCATAAACACAAACATCAGGAAACATTTCCACTGTGAGAGTGACAAACACTGGCACAGGCTGCCCAAGGAGGTTGTGGAGTCACCGTCCTTGGAGACACTCTCAAAAGCTGGGTGTGGTTGTGGGCAACCAGCTCTTGGTGGCCCTGCCCGTGACCTCTGGAAGGCCCTGCCTCCCTCAACAGTTCTGTGGTTCTGCGAAATAACCAGGGATCAAACCCACCCACCACCTCCAAATGTACAGCTTAGCCTTCATTATGGGCAAGGACAGGAGTCCTCAGTTTGTCTCTCACTTCAGAAAACCTCCTGTGTTTTATGTTGAACTTACATGGTTCTTTCTATAGTTGCTGCCTAACCTCTATCTTGCTGGTCAGGAACTCTCCTGTGACTGGAAAGATTGCGCAGCAATCACGTCCTGAGGATGAGAAAGTTAAATCTGGGGTTTCAGTGTCTTTGCTGCAGACATGGAGCTGCTGCAGAACAAATGGCACTGCCCAGTGCTGCAGTTCTGAGAGTTACCACTTCCACTCCTTTTTTTGTGGAGCTGATCTGCAGGTGAAGCTGCTCCCAGATCCAGTGCTTAAAGGTGAATGCTAGTGTCTATTCCTGGGTCATGGTCAGGCCTATAAATCCTGAGCTGTTCAAAGCTCTGGCAGGACTGAGGCATTTCTGAGGAGCTGCACAAGGAGAAGTTCACATGCCCCAAGACCAAGCATGCTGCTGGCACAGTCAGGTGCTCCCAAGGTGAGCACAGCAGAGGGGAGTTGCAACTTTGATTTTTGATGCCTAAATTGTATTAAAACTTCAATTTGATACCCAAATCCTCATTTAGATCTATCCCAAAGTGGTAATTCCACCGGGAAGGTCCCTGGGAGGGCTTCGTGGCAGATTTCTTGTGTTTGGCACTTGGTGCAGTGAACTGTGATTTCAAACATGAAGACCCCTGCAAGGAGAGGGAAGGTAGGTTAATCCACATCTATTCTGAGAAGGTTTAAAGCTCTTGTTGGCCAAAAGGGGAGCTTAAAAGGTATTCAGGAGTCGTCCTGTTTCCCCGCTGACAAATGCAATGTGATGTTTGTGTGAAAACAGCTCTGACACATGGGCTTGGAAGCACAGCCTGATTTTGTATCAGTGCATTCCTTAAGGAATAAACCTACTAACCACAACTCAGAAAAACAAGCAAGATGCTGCTGACAAAAAGTTAAGACAGATTTTTCCATTAGAAGCTGAAGTTTTATTACAGGATAACAGTACATAAAGCACATCTAAAATCGATGTGTTCAATGCACTTAATAAAGGTAATGTAATATTAAAGGTACAGTTTCTAAGTACAATATAACAACATTCATATTAGAATGAAAATTGGAGTATTTAAAAGACAACATTAAATCTCTTATTTTTACAGTCATATTTACAAAATGAATCAAAATACTTTTTTCGGGACCGAGTAAAATAACAAACTCGAATATAAGCAGGCTATTGTAGGGGTGAGCTGGAAAGGTCCATGAGGGGGACAAGTGAAGTGACTGGGTAAAGATCATTAGCAAAGGTTTAGTACAATACCACTTTAGTATTCCTCTTGATGGCTTACACTTTATTGTGGCTAGAAAAGGAATTTATACATACTGTACACATAACAGACAGCACATATTTACATGTACAGTATCATTGCATTTCAACTTGTGTGTATTTACAGAAATCTGAGCATTTCACTCAGGGAGGTTTTTTAAGTCTGTGTGCTTAATCTTCAATCTGATGTGTGTTTGTAATCAGCATTGATTCTGGCGTTGGTACACTGAATATTTAGTAAAGAGGGAGGAGAAATGTTAACCAAATGGTTTTGCATAAATATATCAAACTGTTCAAACAGTGGGGGAACGTGTTCCTGGCATTACCTGTAGGTTGGAACGTACAGATTTAAGAGTAGTCCTTTTCTCTTTCAAAATATCAAAAGGTGACTTAAATCAACAAGGGAAAATAAAATTGTCATGGCTTATATTTAAATAAGATTGTAGCTTCAAGAGGTTTTTATAATTGTCCTGATAGTGTTTGCAGTTAAACATTCCACTTATGAAAATATACCCACGGTGCAGTAAAGTTTGTATTTGTTTTTAGGTCAACAGTATGTTTGCTGTTTAAAAAAAATTATTTATATATATATATTCCTTGGATTGAGGGTATAAAAGCAGTGCATGGAAGCCAAGAACCATGGCTTTAAAATTCACTACCTTCTATTATCAAAAAGTGCAGTAAACAGAAACATTGTTATTAATAAATTGCTCAAAAATCTTTGCTAAAGATCTTATAAATTCAGTAATATTACAGAAAAATTCTAATAAATATTTAAAAGGTTAATTACCTCCTTAGTTAGATATTTGATATCCATCAGTTTTTAAGAATGAACATGAAAACAATATCTAGAATGAAGGGAACAGGGGACAGGAGTACTTGGAAGGGTACATGGCTACGTAAATTAAGGTATACATGAAAAAAGAAAAACAAAACCCCCATACCTGACAAAACGTTGCAAATTCCACTTCTTAATGAACTTTAGTTGCTACTGGCTGTCCCTGGATATGTGTGCCTGGTTCTAAAGCATATCCAGGGAGGGAACTGAGCCAACCGTCCCTATGGAGGAGTTCCAGAACATTCCTATTTACAGCTCAGTGCAGGCCTGGCCGGGCACACCCCCGGGGGTGTGTTCAGGTGCCACCCCGAGGGAGCAGGGAGGAGGCACCTGGCACAGAACAGCCACAGCCTTCATGCAGCACAGCAGAGCTCTCCCAACAGCCCCAGAGCCACCTCCCTCACAGCCAGCACGCTGGAACTGCTTTGTACTGGCACATCAGATGTTTCTCTTGGGTTTGATACAATACAGGCAGACTGTTTGAGTAACCAAAAGGATAACAAGCTGGACAGAACATTTTTAATAACGTTAATAATTAATAATGTTAATAATGTAGAAAAAAATTCTACATTTGATATCAAGTATCTGTACCGGTGAAGTAATTTTCTCCTTATTAAATATACTATAGAATAATTTATATAATGACACTATGCATTTAAAGAGAAAACCATGTCCCAAATCTTGTACTCTGATACAGGTACTTGTTGGGCATATGTTGGTGTATATATATATATATACACAAATATATATATTTATATATAGTTATACTCAGTGAAATTAACAAGACCCAAAGGTGGTATTGTCTAGGAATAAAAGGGGTTTGTTTTTGTTCACAAAAGTAACTTATCTAGCACCACACATCAGAAAAACACAAAAATAGCACACTCTAGTTCTAAACAGCTATGTCTAAAATAGATTATATAGTAAAACAGATATTATACAGCATAATGTGGTATTTGATAAACAGATAAATATTTGCACTGTGTAGGCTGTTTATAGTATAACTTTATCTATACAGAATGAAAGCAAAAAGTTAACTGTATAGAGGTGAGCAGAACAACATTAAATATTATGACTCCAAAGCAGAGACAAAGTTAGAGTTGAAAGAATAGAGCAAGATAAAATGTTTACAGGCCATTACAAGTCCTTAAATTAGTAGTAAAATAAGGAATCAGTTGCTCAAGTTTAAGAAAGCAGTAAACAAGAGATTGCATTTACATGCAGATGTCTAAAACTTGTATTTCTTTTAAATCTATGCACAAAAAGTCATTTGTTTTTATTGCTTGACATTCAGTTATGGCTAGAGTATTTTTAACCTTTTTTTTGTACTTTGGAAACAAGAATATTGTTAAAGGTGCCATAAAAATGGACAACATTGAAAACAGTTTGCAAATAAACCACCTAACACTGCAGTTCTTTATACATTTTAAAAAGCCTTGTCTGGGGTTTGTCATATGTTAAATATATTTAATCTGGGAAAATACATTGTAGCTTGAAGCCTCCCATTGGCCCAAACATCCAATACAAAAACACTTCTCCAGAAAAGGAGCAGGCAGACAATACAGTTACACAGAAAGAAGCAGCCAGTTAATGTCCTAATACTTCAAACATTGACCACTGTTCTGGGACTTGTTCGAAATCAGTGTAGAAATGAGGAACGTTTTGGATTTCCAGAGGTGTACAGTACGTTTGCCTTTTTGTGAACTACAATTCACTGTATTGCTTATGAATCCTCTGCCTTAGCAGAGATGAGATTACAGATTGCAAGTTCCTGTAAGGGCTGTGCATCCACACCGACACTCTGGGGGGTATCCCGGGCTAGTGTTTCTCAAACCGAAAGTCACAACTCGTCATCTGAGCGCTGCCGGAGCGTTCAGATCGCTCTCAGAGCCCGTGTGGGGCGAACGCTGCTCGGGGCGGGAGCAGAGCGGGGCTCCAGCGCGGCCAGCGTTGTGCTGGCACAGGGCACACGCTGCCCAGGGAGCTGGAGGTGCAGCTCAGCCCCACGCCGGGGCAGCCGCAGGAGCTGCCTGGGGGCTGCGGGCGTTTGGAGCAGCCCAGAGGTCCCAGGAACAGCAGCTGCTCGGCTCCCTCAGCGAGGAGGCTGCCACTCATCACAGCTCGGTCACATCCCCGCCCCGGCCAAAGGGGCTCATGCCAACACAGAGAGAAACACGGCCCCGGAGCTCGTGCTTTCAGAACCCCTGAGAAACACTAACCCGGGAGAACAAGTACACACAGGACATGGGAACACCGAGAACATGCACGTGGTAACAAAGGGTGATGGCACACATCAAGTTGGACAACTTGATTGTGAAGCTCAGCTTGAAGAAGTGATGAGATGATGAGGGAAGACATACAAGTGAATCTTGTGGCAGAAGAAGTGAAGCCATGAGTATTGATCTGAAGCCTTTATCATGTTTTGTTTCTTATTTGGATAGCCTACTTATTGCTATAAAGTTATTGCTATATTCTACCAATGATAAAGGCAAAAAAAATACAAACAGCAACATTACATATGGAAAAGGTAGAATACAGCTTCTGTTTTGATGTTAAAATTCTATTTAGTACCTGAATGAAGTTCCAAAGATAGACTGTATATTCTCCTAAATGTTACACATTTCCCCCCCAAGTCCAGTGACTGAGCATTATGTAGCGAGCCATTATCACAGTACTAGAGTTAAAGCACATACTGCAAGGATTTTTAAATAAATACTCCTTTACATTTGAAAACTTTGCTTTTTGTTGTTGTATTTGGTATCTGTATGCATGTGCCCTCATTTCCACCAAATGATTTACTGACAGGAATATTTAAACAAAAAGAAAATAGGAGGCTCATATTCAAATATATTAATGGATGAAACTTTTAAAGTAATAAATATTAGTATTAATTATGAAAAAATAATTCTAATAGTTATATTTCTCCAGCTAGGGAAAATAAAGGTGTTCTGTGCAATCTGAATCACTAGCACAGGTAAAATTTCATACACTGAATACTCAAGAGAAAATTGCTTATTATTTTCGGATATTGTATAGTAAATGCTGTTTCTGACATTTATATTAATAGGGTTATCTACATTGGGGAGTTTAGGAATGTCTAGGGAAAAAAATACACATTGTTTGCACAGCTTATCCTGTGTAACCTGTTCAGTTCATCCACTACAGACTGGGGACTGTCTATGCCAATCCAAAAAAAGATACTGTAGTGTTTGGCTCATCCCACTGCACAGTTAAACATCTGATCGATTGTCCATTCTAAGAGGAGGTTTAATTGATGTGCAAGTCTGGAAAGAACGGGGTCTATTATGATCAGCAGCAGGAATTCTCTGCTGGAGCTGCCAAGCACACCAGCTGATCAGGAGGTCAGTTGGCTCAGCCCTGCTCTGCTGGGGAAGGCCATTCCAGGCTCAACTGCCTGGCAGCTGGAGAAGCCACTTTCCCTGTGTCCTAAGCAATCTAAAGTAAACAGCTGGAAGCCAAATACCCGTGAAAAACCCTCCAAAATGCTGGAAAACTGGTGCTTTCTGCAAGCAGACAGGTTTGATGGAGAAAGTCACTCTCTTCCCAGCATAACCAAAGGCTTGAAGTCTTGCTCCCTTTGTTCGTAGTTTGTCCCTGCTCTTGTGAAGCCACAACACACAGCTCCTTGGGCCAGGCTTCCAGCAGCTCCAGCCTGGCACCGGGGCACTTCCCAGGCACTGCCAACCCCCTGTATGGCTGTGTTTGCTGTACTAGACATGACAATGTCTTCAGCCTCAGTGTTCCTCTCCAGTCAGGTCTTTTGCTTTACCATGAAACATCTGCAACAGCGCCAGACGTCTGAAGTGCTGGTCCTGTATTCCTGCAGATCTGGGTCCCTTTCTGTGTGACTTCACTGCTGCCACCTAACCGTGACCTTTTCATTCCTAATGCACTGCCAGCCACTGACCTGCTTTCTTTGACAACTTAAATACTGAAAAGCCATTTCCTGTTGCTGAACACTGAATTTCAGCTGGAAAAATAGTCCTATCGTTATAAAAACATCCAGAGGGTACTGAAATTAATTTCAATCATTTATTTAGTGGGTCAGCATTTGTTTCCTAAAATATAACTGCGAAGCCTTTGCGCTGTTTGGAGTTTTGTCTCGAACAAAATAGCGACCAAAAAGCAGCTGTGCTGCAAAAGTGAGTCAGAGAACGAGGCACACACGTTTAGCTAACAAAAATATCCAGTTCTCCTGTGCCTGGGGGGAGGGGGAAGGGAAGAAATACAAGCAGATTTTTTAAAAAGCAATTTGTTCCACCAGCAGTACTGGCCACCCTGTTGAAGAGTTTTAGAAGATCCCTGAGCACATTAGTTTCTGCCTCATAACCCCAGCTCCAAAATGATAGGGCTGCTCTTGTTGGAAACGAGATGGATTGTCATTCACAGTTAAGTCAATCATAAGGTGCTTATCTATTTACCCTTTTTTTCACCAATCAGCACAAAGAACTGTCAGAAAATAACTTTTATTTTTCTTTTTTAAATAATAAAAGGGCACAAAATTTAAACAATCAATGTTTTGTGACAGTGGTTTAGGATTATTATCTGGCTGCCCCTCAACAACAGACAAGTGATTCAATCGACATTCCTTAGCAAAAAAAAAAAAAAAAAAAAAAAAAAGGAAAGAAAAGAAAAAAGGCAAAAAAAAGAAAAATCCTGTACAAATATGTATTTTTCCCTGAGGGATCAAGGTTACACCCGCAAGTGCTCTATGTACATATTGCACTGTAGAGGAATGAAGAACATGTGCAAAAAAAGCAACAATGATTGAAGCTTACTAATCAAACCTTTTAATCATGACTGCTATGTCATCTTGCATTTTGGAATGTCGGAACACAGCTATTCCTTTAATCTAAAATGTAAAAACAACAAAAAAAAAGGAAAGAAAAAGAAAAACACACCTCTACTATGGCACATTCAATGAAATAAAAAGTTTTCCAAAGACAAATAGACAAATTCCATCAAGAAAATAATACAAAGTTCGTTCGTTTGTGTTTTTTTTTTGTTTTTTAGAAAAATTACATTACTTTCTTTCATTGTTTCACATTACAAAATCTTTTTTTTTTTAATGTTTACACAAATCACATTTTATTGCAGGAATATTTCAAGTGCCATCAAACATTTATAGAAGGGTTAAAAAAATAGAAGTCTCTCTAAAGTGGTCCAGACAAGGCTTTGTATAGAATAAATCTTTTTTCCACCTTCTATTTTTGACTTAAGTATTTTGAATACATTTTCTTTATTCATTGACACTGAACAGCCTAGAAGCAGCCACTCACACGGACCCACACAAACACTCGTGTGCTCACACAATGGACTCTCTCACACACACACAGGTGCACATACACAGATATCTTGGTATCCAGACTAAGAGAAGCTAATAAAGAACAACCAAACTTAAAAACAGCCTCCCTTTTTTACCTAATCCCATAGTTTTTCAATGTCAATCAATGCTGGAGGGGATGACACACATTAGGGTGGTTCCAATGACAGGACAGTGTCTCCTTCTAGAAAGCCAGAAAACATCTCCATGGATAGATATAACCCAATGAAAACATCTGTGCAGACTCTGAGGACCACGTCATAAACCCTAATATATTCCTTTCTCTTAGCTATCCTAGTGTTTTATTTGTAGTGAACTGGGCAGATTATGAAAATACTCATGAATATCCACTGACCTCAAGTTTGTTTTTAACTGAGTATCTGTTTGAGCATCTGACCCCAGCCCCAGTCCCAGAGGTTGGGCAGAGGTTTCCTCTGCTCTGCTGGTTCTGGCAGGGCCATCCCTGACCAGCCACCCCAGTGTTAGCCGGTGTCCCCTTCCATAAAAGCCTCCTTGGCAGATCTCATCAGTACCTCTGCCAGCCTGCAGCCCTTTCTTCCCCTCTCCATGGAGAGCAAAACAAGAATTACACTCTCTTGCCAAGTGGCTGTTCCCTGGGATCAGGAAAGCAGAGTTACCTGGGGGGTGTGCACAGCCTGATTTAACAAGGGGCCAGCACAGGAGCTCCCACCAACAAAAATGACAGCCCTTTCTGGCCTGGAAGATCACTGTCAGCTAAGGCCCTGTCTGAAACCTTTTATAGTTATGTACTGTATTAGTAAATGCTCCAAAAATGGTGTTGTCAATGACTTAGGAGTGTAAATATGCCAAACTAGATTCCAAACAAAACCACTGGCACCGAGGTGCCTGGTAAAGCACTAATATCCATCAGGAAAAGGTAAGAAAAAGGATGTGACTGAAAATTAATCCCCATATATTTTACCTGGTAGTCTACATATTGTCACAAGCAGGAGTTGTATTTTGCTCTCTAAAAATGTACAGGTCTTACTTCAGTACTCATTAGTTGACACTGAGATTAAGTTTAGTTGATCTTTACAGGACTAGCACCTAAGGCTGGTCACATTCAGAAAACATTTGTTAGTTAAAAGGGTTGCTTCAAAAATAGGAACAGACATTAGAATGCAAGTACCATATCGTGCCAGTTACTCCAATAAAGTAAACAATGATTCCAGACATGTTCCAGTGGGATGGGGAGGGGACATGCTGGGCTGAGCCCCCTCTCCAGGAGCAGCAGGATGGAGCAGCAAAGGACAGCTCTGGGGGCTTTTCCCAGGAGCCCTCTCCTGACTCCATCCCGGTGCTCCCAGGGCTGCAGGTGCTGCCCTCCCACACTCGGGGTCACTGCTCTGGGGAGGGAAGTGATGCTCCTCTCCCTCCCTCCAAACCCTGGAGAGCAGTGACAGCTCTGAGCCTCCCTGATGGGAACACTGGAACACTTCAGGAGGTGTCACAGCTAAATGTCTCAAATTGACCCCAAAGGAAACACGTTCAAACCACAGAATAAACCTGTATTTTGCTAATCATAATCCACTGACCCCATTCTCCTTTTTAAAATCCTTAGGCTTCAGTGTGCTTCTACTCACGTGTTACTTCTCAACAACTGTAACATATGTGAGATTGTTGACCCTTGGAAACTAAAACACATTCTGTCTCATTCCTTTTCCTTTTTTGAAGTTCCCAGTTTTTTCTTTTGTACTTTATCAGAAACTTCCTTTGTGCAGGCCCACAGGGCATCCAGTTATGCAACTCCATCTCATCCAAACCCAATTACACATCTCTGGCTCAAACAGCCACAGTTCAGTTTGTAATGTTGTTTACTGTGAATCTGCCTCCTTCAGCACTGGGTTTGCTGCCAGATTTGCTCAGAGACAGAATTCTTCCTGGAGGGAATGTAATTAATAAGACTGCAAGATTCAGCTTATTGGTTGGTTCTGCAGTACAGGAGTCAGAATTACAGAATGCAGATTTATGATATTAGTGATTTCCAGGCATTATACAGAGTAGAACCAATGCTTTCTAGCAACAGTGTTGCCTTTACTTTGTTAGTCCCCATTTGCTAAACTTTAAAGTGCTTCTTTCTAAACAAGGAGAGCAATGGACTTCTCTGATCAGCTCCCTGGAACTGAACTGCTGGATGCTGGAAGAACAGGGGTCAGGGTCCCATCTCCCTGCAGTCAAACCCCTTCTGGGTTTGCTGGGCTCACGTTTGAGTCTGAAGGCATTGTTTACCATATGGAGTACAAAAGTATGGAATATTATGTATAAAAATTACTTTTCCACATACATGTCATACACACATACTTTTACTGTAGATACAGACTTGAGTATCTTCAAACCTGGATTTATGGTGGGCAGAAATACACCATTTAACAGCCTGATTTTCAGAGGTGCTGTGTTACTCATTTGGAAATGAGCTGTAATTGCTTAGTTTGACTCTGACAGTGAAACTCAGCACCTTTGACAATGAGGCTTTTGACTTGTGCACTTAAATTTGAATTTAGGCATGTAATTTTAAACATCCAGGTTTGAAAGATTTAAAAATGAAAGTACCTTTGAATTTAACATCTGGAAAGATTATTTTTATGTAGAAAATTGTCATTATTTTCAACTCTTTAAAAAAATCTGTAACCATTTCAGGATATGACCAGCCTCTCTTTAAAAGTAACATGGAAAACAGCAGCATAAATACCTCCCAATGTACCAGTACCTGCCAAACCTTTTTCAGTTAAACTTGAATTTCTGGTGCACATGCAACACAACAATGAACACGCTAGCATTTAATTTAAAGAAAAAGGTGCAAAATGAAAGTGCCTTATCAATTCAACGAGAAAAGCTATACCAGTAACTACATTTTATATTAATTAAAACAATATATAAACAATATCTCTTTTGCTATATATAGTCTTCATGCCCATTTACCCTGTAATATATTATAATGCTATTGTTGCTATTGCTATGGACCCTTTTCATGCCGTTCTGTCTACTGGCAAACAGTGGTAGGTGAAAAAAAATCGTCCTTCATGAAACAATGAGCAAGTTGTGCAAACTGATGCTGAAATCTCTGCACCTCACACCAGTCGCTGATTATTGGGTGGACTCTGTTCTGATCAACAAATTGATTGTTCTGTCAAAAGTCTGGGCAGTGAACTACAGGAGAAAACAACCTTCTGACATTAGTACCCTCAGTCTGTGTAAACAGAGGTCAAGGATTGAGAAGCTGAGACAGAAAAAGGGTCCATATTTGTAGGCATAATGGAAATCATATGCATGAGAAAAACAAGTTCAACTTTGTGTCATTGTTTCCCATCCTTCGCCTGACCCCGACCGCCAAGAGATGTGCAGTGTGTTGGCTCCCTAGGTCTGTGCAGGGCCATATAAAGTGTCTTGGTTTTCTTTCTTTTTTTTTTCCTTTTTTTTCCTTTCTTTTGTTTTAATGTTTGTACTTCAGACATTCTAGAAGTGCTTAGGTGATACGTTTACCCATCAATTTGCATTGCTGGCTCAAACTCTGAAGTGAACAACTCCTTGTAAAGTGGAGGAAAATGAAGTCGCACAATGTCTGGGTATATTGCTTTAAATGCCATAAGCTTTTCTGTATGTCGTCCACACAGTGCTCTTAAAGTAGACACTTTGCATATTAACTGTAAAGAAATGAACAAAGTCATAGGGTCATACATGGAACCAGCCCTCCCGATCCTGCTGCAAGGATCACACTCTCCCAAACACAACTGTTCAGATTGTGACATTTCAGGTGCACAGTCCGGGGGGGTGTTAAAGGTATTTACGTCATGGACTCCCAGCTCTTTGTGAAATAATCTTTAAGTTCCCAGGAAAATGTGTCATTAGGTTTCCTCACTGGATTGATACAGAATTTCAGAGCTGGATCCTCATTCATGCAACTAAATCATACTCTTGGAAAAAGGCAGCCCAGCTGCTTTTAAACCCACTGTGAGTATTATGGAGGGAACTGGCAATGCAATAGATTGGACTTATTTAACTTAAGCCAAATAAGGTGAAAAATAAGTACTTCAAAAATATCACAAAAATATCAGCTACTGAGTAAAGGATTTGTATCAAAGCACGTGGAAGAAACTTCCTTCCAACAAAGGCATCCAAAGTATACACCGAGAAAAGAAGTCCATGAGCCAGGATTTGAAATGAAGAAAATCCACAAAGGCTGGGCTGGACCCTCCTGCTTTTATTGTAATAAATTCTGTGGTGGGAAACTAAGCAGAAGCTTTCTGGCTGTGCAGAGTTGTATAAGGAACTACCTCTGTCAGGAAGGGCTTATTTTTCCTCAGTTCTCCAGATTTACTTCTTGTAACATCACACCACTTCTTGTAACATAACACCACTTTTTCTTTTCTGAAAAATGATGTGAAGATACTTTAGATGAGCATAATAGTGTGTGGGGTCTCTTTTCCCCAGGTTTCAGGATTTGGAAGAACTGAGGAAAAGGTTGTGTGAGGAACTTCTCATGGAAGTCTGAAAAACAAGTTTGGTTTGGGTATTGCATGTAATAAAAACTTAATTGCCATGCAGGCAGAGATCCCACAAGGATTAAGGCTGCACGTTGGAGAACTGAAATAGTATTGTGTGGCAGAAAAGTCGTGTAGGAGAACTAGGATAAAAAACTTCATCACTTTTCATGAAGTTCCACATCAAAATCCTTCCTTTCAGACCATTATCAACCCTGTTCTCTAGCACGTCATCATTTCACCTCTTGTGGTTTTCAGGAAATAGTTCCAGCTAAGCACCTTGATTTTGGACAAGGAATTCTGGGTTTATAAATAACAACTTAACTGCGTCAAAGCTTTTACACCTTAATCAGGACAGTGTTCCTAAGAAAGCATATTTTCAGAGTCATGGCCCAGTCTGACTCTTACCTTTGTTAGAATCCCATCCTCTCGGTGGTTCTTCTGTAGGACATGCTGAAGTGCCAGCTGGATCTTCTGTTGGAGCTTTTCAATCTTCACTTTCTCCTGAAGCCATGAGCGATCTGAACATAAATGGAGTTAACATCTCTAGTGCTGCACAGGGCTCACAGAGCACCAGGAACGACTGAGGCTCTGACAGAGTCATCCTTCCTGTTTGCAACCTGCCCTCCATTTTACAGACTCTCATATAGAAAATGAGCTTCAAAATCAACAGGTTTTGGAGTACAATTATTACATTCAATTAAATTACTTATATAAAGCCCTTAATTAGAAGAATGTAATTAATCTGAGTATGATTTATTACTTGTTTGCTAAAAAGGTCTGTAAAATGCAGGCTATTTACAAAATGAAGCTACTAACTTTTCACTGCAAAATGAACAGATCATATAATGAAAGAGTAGTTGGAGTGGATCTTGCAAAGATCTCCAGTGACTTACAGAAAAATCAGATGCAAAGATTCAAATATTAAAAAAACCAAAAAGCAGCTCCTAAACTTCATGGCAGAAAGTAGTATGAGCTGCTACATTCTGTGTGTGCCAGACCTGCAGGATTCCGGGGCTTGCTAAGACACTGGGCTAACACACTTCCCATCTGGCAAAGAGCATAGGAGTGGATCTGTGATGCTCTCAACCAATGCACTGTTGCCCACAGACTGTTCACCACCACTCCTGAGCCCACTGCACTGCCACTTGGTTTGCTTCCAAGTCAGACACAAACTGACCTTCTGCCCCAGGATCCTGTTCCCCCTGCCTGAGGAGCCGTCCCAGAGCCTGGGGCACCGTGCCCGTGGCCCTGTGAGCACGGAGTTCTTACAGCCATGGCATGGCACACCCAGGCTGGCTCTGGGCTGCCCTGGCACCACAACCTCAGTGTCCCCAGTCCCACGCTGGGCACACACCTCAGCTGCCACACTAACAGGGCAATGCTGCTGAACAGGCCTGAGGTGGTGCTGGAAGCTCACAGATGTGAAAGCTGACTGTATGAGTTCAGTGTCTACCTTCTGCCTGTCTCACCAGGATCAGCCCAGCAGTCTCACTCACATGCATTTAAGCTTTTTTCTAAAGAAGCTGAGTCCTCAACAAGGTCAAAATGTGGAAAACAAGGGCTTAGAGTAGGATTTCCAACTTAACAAACTGATTCCTAAATTCACAGTTGTAATGTGTTTATTAAAATAAAACTTTTGATGAGGGAGACACTCCAAAAGATGTGACATTTCCACACTGTCTGATAGTCTTAATGTTATCGTTAAAAAGACCTCAAAAATAAAAACGACCTCTACCCAAACAAAGCCAGAGGAAACCTTCATCTCTTACCTGCTGACATTAAAACAAACGCAGAAAACAAAGCTATTTCATCTTCTGTCAGGTGCATAGAACATAAACTTTTTCCAAATTCAAACACAAAACTAATGAAGTCTTCACAACCTGCCAAAAAGAAGGTACAGCTCATGTCACATTGTTTAAAACTACTTCAGAGCCACAGAGTTATTGATTTATTCTGATGCAGATGAGAAATAGATGTAAAATACTTCACAGGTGAATGGTCTTCCCCTTAAGGACTGTGAAGTGATGGTAGTGAGATCTCACTCATCCTTGAGCTTATTACCCCATTCCCACGGGTCTCCAGCTCCCACACCCAGTGCTTGGAAGCTTTTGCACACTGGATCTTTCCTACATTTGGTTCTTGGGGGTAAATATGGATAAATCTCAAGCCATTTATTTTCAAGCTCAAAACTGGTTTAGCTTTGGTTCTGTTCTCAATGGAGCTTTCTCACGTCAGTGTGGATGGAGGCTGCAAACGTGGCCTTACACAGTGCTGGTCTGAGGCCTGTTGAGCACACAGAGTGGGGGAACAGAGAGGCACACGAGGAACATGCAGAGCAGAGGGAGAAGCCAAGGTCTGAACACTTGTCATGCAGCAGAGGAGCTGTGCCTCCTTTGCTCCCTCCTGCTCCCACCGTGTCAGTCAGGTTACTGTGCTGGCACACATGCAGGGACGGGCTGGCAAAGTGGAGCCCTCACAGCCTGAGGGAAGGGGCTTTCCTCTGCACATCTCACCCCCACCCAGCCTGAACCTCTGCATACAGCTGCAAACAGATCCAGCTGTGTTTCCTTGGAGCCCAGAACTGTTTGCACTCTGACCTTGCACCTCGAGGGGTTTTAGGAAGGCAGAGAACACTTCAGGAATGGTACAGCATTGATTCTCCACTGAGGTGTTTCCACTGCCCTCCAAAACAGCCCAAATCTACACCCAGTGAAATACATCCTTTTAAAATCAGAAAAAACACACAAGAAAAAAATTCAAAATTATAAACCGTGGTTTAACAAAAAAATTGATTTACAGTGCTTTACCTGCAAATAACTGGACTTGGCCCATTATAAAACACTATTAACATCTTCAAAGCAATAACATCAGAATATCCAAAGCTACCTTAAAATCTGCTGCCTTTTCCAACAGGATATACAAAGTGTTACACTAGACATGAAATCTGGGCTTCTGTTCTCAACAAGTGAGTCCAAACTGCTCTACCCTCATCAAAATGTTGATTTTTACCATCAATGGTCCTTTACTGCACAGGTGAAGCTGCTTTAACTCCTGCAATCAGCTTGGCCTCAAACAGAGCCAGCATGACTGCTTACAAAACAAGCAGTTTGAACTTTGCAGCTCTTTTATTTGAACACTAGAGCCTGATTTTTTCAAAGCAGCTCTTTTCCCTTGCTCTTCCACCTTATTATTTTTATTCCATTTTTTTAAAGACACAACACTTGACATTTCCTTACCTAAGGACTTGAAAACCTCTGGGCTAGCATACTTGCCATCAAAGTAGACTGTGTTGTTCTGGGAGTCAAAGGCACGGCACATTCTGATGAACACAACCTCTAAAGACCCTAAAACAGAAACAGGGTATGTTTGACTCTGGAAGTCGAGGCTTCAGCTGTAAAGAGCAAGTGAGGATTTAAAAATAATGCTCTGCTTTCATCATCTATTGAGTAGGGTAAGAGGTTCCTGTGGTGTAACAGAGCATAGCCTGGTTTGCTACTAGAATTAAAAGAATTCCCATAAACCCCTTCAGAAGTTTTTGCTAAAGCAACTTAGTCATTGCTAATAAACTCTAATAATTCTTTTTAGAGTAATGAAGTCTCTGAAGTCAAAGTGGCTCATTTAGATTTATGTTCACAGAGCTTTGACAACTTGGTCCAATATTTGTAAACTGCATTGCTTCTACAGTCTCTTGCAGAGAACAATCTGGATTTTTACCTTGAAATTTTTACCTAATAATAGAAAATTAAATCTGAATCCAGCTTTTCCATCTTTACATAGTCTTGCTGTTCATAATGATAACTTAGTAAGTAGACTTTGAACTCCTCCTATCCAGAGTAACTATGAAGTTACTTCTGAGACAATTTGTAAGGTTTTGCCCCATATGATTTTAAATTATCATTGTACTACATATGAATATTTGCATACGCAATCACTATATACAAGTAACACCTTCCTCAGTTAAACCAATAGAAGCAGACCTTAAAACTGACCCACATACCTGCTTTTAAAAGCACAATTTGATCATTTTGACACAGTTCCATAAAGCCATCAATGCGTTTGGCAAATTCCACTACATACTGAATAGCTTCTGTGATTTTGACTGCGCACAACTGCCACATCACCTCCCTCTGCTGTGGGAGAGAAGAGAAATGCACAGATTACTGACCTGGGCTGGCAAAGCTCATTGTCATCGAGTAAAACTGAGTCAAAAAACCCCTGCAGTGAATTCTCCCCAGCACTCTTGGCTACAGTGTGCTGATAAAACAGGGGGAATTGACCTCCAAGCCAAAGCCTCCTGTGGAGTGACAATGCAAACATGGGAGACTCCTTCAAGTCATGCCAGAAGAGATCCAGGTTGGAGTGTTTTTATTTCATATAAACCAAAAATGTCAAAGTGTAACCGTTCTGGTCACTTCAGCAGGAATTTTATTCACTGCATCAAAAGAAAATGCCAATTTCCACCAGCAGGGCATAATCACATTTTCCCTATCAACTTCTGTGTTTTGTTCTGGATGCAAATTATCTGCCTTGCTCATCTTCAGAAGGACACACAGACAGATGATTGTATATGAAGGTCATCTTCTGAACAACATAAAGAAGGCACGTGAGTTTTTCATATGTTGATAATAATGCAGAATGAAATTACCTAATGTAGAAAAAAGGATATTCTTAAAGGTTAAATATTTTTCTGTGGAAATGAAAAACACGTTCAAAGCACTTCCCAGGACAGTTTTCCACATGAAGCCCATGGCAGCAGTTTGTGGATGGAAGGTGTGCTGGAAGGGCAAACACTGACCAGATCTCACAGTACCCCAGGGGGGTGGCAGCACCATGGACAATGTGCTGCCATTCCACAGGTAAAACCCAAACACTGAGGGACAACTGGAGGGTGTTTATAACTCAAAACAAAACACACCATGTAAAATCACAACACTTGGTGGCTTCAGCTTGTGCTGTTGTTGATCCAGGAGGTTACAAATTAAGAGAAGAAAATAACATGCCATCTAGGATTGAAAAAATTCCTGTGGTTTCCTATCCTTCTTTATTACAGATTTTAGGAGAATGGCTTTGCCTTTTCCTATACCTGTACAAATCACAAATGCAAAGGATATCCTGACCATCTTGCTGCTTTTGATTCTAGCACTTTTTTTTTAAACACACAGAAATATACATTCCTGATAGTAAAGAGAAAGCAGTGAAAAAGTGAATTTTGCAGTGTGTTATGGAAATACCATGCTTGATAGAAACCATGCCATGTCCTGGCGTGCTTTCGTACCTTGTTCTGGTAGTTCTCGATTTCTTCCTGCAGGAAAGTTTGCCATGTTATCTGCTGCAACTCCTCTCTCAAGTACTGGCAAGTTTCCATGTGTGACTTGGAAATATTCTGTGCAAGATGTTCTAAGAGAAAGAGCAGAAAGCGACACGCGTTAGAAATGCAAAGCTGTACCTTCAGACGGGAGCAAATAACATATTCCAGCTGCAGGAGGGGGAGGGAGGAGGGCGAGCCGAGGGCAGAGTGCCCGAGTTGGGGTTTCCTCGGCTCCCGTCCCAGCGCTGCCCGGCGCCGCCGGCAGAGGACGCGCGGCACCCGCGGTGGGAGCCCGGGAACTCCTGCACCCCAAACCGGGCAAAGGAAGGCCAGTTTGGTGAAGGCCGGGAGCTGCGGGAACCGCCCCTGCTGCCTTTGACAGCTCTGACACCTGGGCCGGGAGGCACAGCACCAACAGAGCCACTGAGAACAACCCCTGCTCAGATCTGAGCCGGGAATGTGCTCCTTGGAACACAGGACACTGCCATGGGCAGGGACAGCACAGCCCTGCCAGCCAGGCAGCACCTCTGCTGGGGCCAAGGCTGTGTTTTATACAACTGAGGCTTTCCAAAAAAGAAATACAGGCAGTTACCACCTGTCTAGTGCTCTGCTAAGCAGGACTCTCATCCCATCAGGCTGCCAGTGAGTGCCATTCTCATATATTTATATATTCATTATATTTTCTCATATAATTAAAAAATATTATACTAAAATCTATTATATAAAATATTAAATATTTATTATAATTAATTCTATTATATTATTATGTAACATAATATAATTATATTATTTTTATTATAATCAATATATTATATTAAAAATATATCTATTGGAGAATCCAGATGATTAAGATAACTCACTAAGAAATCACTAAGGGTTTTTCCTCAGCTTTAGAGAAGCTTAGTTAACTGCACGATTTAAAATTTCCATCCAATGTTTTAATTCCAAATAAAATATTTTCTGCTGCTATACTTGATTAAAAGAACTATATGGCAGATTTACATTTATTAATAAAACCTGGTTCCATAAACCTTCAGGAACCCCTTCAAAAGCTTGAATGGGATTTAGACACCTGAATTCCACTTTGCCTTTCTCTTTTCTACCCTGGCTCTGGGCCTGTTCTGCTGTTTGAGCACGTGCCAAGCAGAAGTGTTGTGACTTATCTCACACAGTTCTGCCTGTGAGGCCACTGGAAAGGAAGGCTTAAAACCACCAGGGCCGGTGGGCATTAACAACATGGGGGCATCTGGGGGACTGGAGCACCAGATCTGTGAAATGGGCCTTGTTTGACCATGAGCAAAGCCAGCCCTTCACAAACAACTGCTGGACAATCAGGCTGTTTAGTACCATCCTTCACACATCAGTAGTTTGATGTGAGAGACTACCTGAAAAGTCTTTTAACACAGGTGAGCTAAACTCAGCTTATATGTGCTACCTGAGCAATCAACAAGGTAGAACACAAGGTAATTTATCCTTGGTTTGTTAGCACAGCCTTGATGTTTTTGAGAACAATTGTTTTTTCTCACAAGCTTGTAGCTCAGACGTTTGTCCTGGGTAGCAGCCACTGGCAGCACAATCCCTGTGCCCTTGCAGGACAGAGAAGGTGAAATATTCCCCATGTTACTCCCAAGCCTCGGCCTCCCTTCTGGACTGTATTGCAGGACACACCTAAATACTTTCATTGAACAGCCACACCTTCCTAAATTGAAACCTTGGTCTGGCAGACAAACATTCTTCAAACATTGTTCAGTAATGTCAGTGCTGGGCACCCAAATCACACTGTGCAGGCTTTAAATGCAAGCAGTGTGTAAATGAAGGAAAGCAACATGACAAACTTATTTTAGGCCAGTGTTCCAAACTCAAAACCTGGCCTACAAAGGAAAAGCCCTTTCTTTTTTATTGTGAGTTTAATGTAAGTCTTTTTAATAACTTCCACGAGAAAATTAGCAACCATTTGACTGACACAAAGCTGGCAGCATTGTCTTTAACCTGACTTTTTCTTCTCATCTTTACCTATCTGAAATTATTTTAACTCAAGCCAGACATAGTATTTTGGCTGTCAGGACCAATTATATTGCAGAGAACAGCATTCTGCAACATAAGGACATTATAAAGTAAGCCTTCTTGTGCCTTCTTCTCTGTAAAATTTCTCAAAAGAATATAAACCACATAAAATTTTAATGTGGAATACCTGATTTTTCAAACTATTTTTTTTAGGGTTTTGTAACTAAAATAATTAGCAAAAATGTTGCTTAAGCAAGCAAAATTAGTTTTAAACACCTGACTGCTTACAGAAGTAACAGAATCATGAAACCACTTCTCTCATGTCCTGTTCCACTTTGTTTATAACCTGTTCACACAGCAGGCTCTAACTCCAGTCTCAGCTGTTGACAAGTCACAGCTGTGGAACTCAGCCCCAGTGTCATCATTCAGGGAAGAGTTTAAAGTAGAACATGCTAATTAATGTGTTTGTTATAAGGCTTTTGGAGAAATTATCAAAATTTGCTACATTCAAAAATTTTCTTCAGTATCTGGGGCCAGATTCTTTTCAACCAGTGACAAGGAGAAGTGCCCTCAGATTAGTTTGGTGCTTTGGTTTCAGATTTGCCAGGTAAAGAGCAGAGCAAAATCAGCCTCATCACTTTTTGTCAGAAATAAGAGTATTGAGGTAATGAAAAAGGAGATAAAATGTTAAAAAATAATCTGCAAAAAAAGAAATACGCTGTCTGTTTGCTCAGCACTAAGAATTAGTTTGTTAATCAGTATTCAAAGGGTTCTATTGCAAGGACTGAAAGCAAAAGCAGCACTCCTAGAGCTGATCAGCCCCAGGCTCCCGGAGTTTTAGGCCAGAGGGGTAAGTTGTTGTGTGTACCCCGAGATGAGGACACTGTGCACGTCACAGCAGAATGCCCACACATGCTCCCAGCTCCACTGAAGCAGCATTCTCACTATCACCTGGCTAAATGTGGCACTTTAATCCAAAGGGTACTGTTAAGACAATTAGAATGTAAGCTTTTCTCTCTCATTACCTAATTCTGCCATGGACACAGTTGGAGAGGTCTCCCCATTTGTAAAAGAACAATAAGGGAAGAAGCCCGATGCTGGTGTGTAGTCACATATTGGTTCTGGTTTGATTCCATTAATATCAAGACCCGACTGATCTGGAGAAGGCTGTATGTCTAAGTAGAAGCTGCTAACTGCAGAGTCTGCTTTGCTACCTTCAGGGGTATGCCCATCAATGTAATTACTGAGGTCGTCGTGCAGCTCTGTGAGCCCGTTGGTGGTGATATTGTAAGTGGGGGTGAGCGGCTCTGCCTCTCCCGGCTGCTGCTGGTGGTCGCGCTGCTGCTGCTGCAGTCGGTGTTTCTGCACCTCCGCGTACAGGCTGTCCCGCTGCTTTTTGGACATCCGACCAAACTTTACAGCTGAAACACAGACACAGGCTGTTACCTTCCCACACCCCCACTGCTGGCTCTGAGCTGCCTCCAGTCGTTACACACCACGGGAACCCCAAACCAGAGCACAGGCAGACCTAAGGATCGCTGCTCTCGGTCACAGGGACTCAGCTGCAGCCCCTGCTCTTTAGAACACCCTCTGAACATGCAACTGAAATGGACTATTAGAAGCCACTGGTTTAGCTTCATTCATTAACTTCCCACTTCTGTACCGAAAAGATTTTCTCCTGAACGTCCAACAAAGTTGACAGATGCATCTCTTCAGCATTCAAGTCCTACCTGGAAAAGCAGAAGTTAAAACAGAACATGCTGGCCCAGGATGAACTGTCCAATTCCTGCCAGCTGCACATTCACACCACAGAGTGAACTTAAAAATAGGTGCCAACACGTGGGGTATCGCTCACAGTGTATCAATAACAAGCTTTACTGGGACTGGGACTAGAGCACATGGGAGGAATCACCAAACCTGCCTCCAGCACCGCTGTGACAAGCAGAAGTGTTACTAGGTGAGCAACTGTTAAACCTGCATTTGTGTGTGTACACACGTGCACACACAGATTACTACTGCTTTGAGAGGCAGTAGCTGTCAGCCAGCAGCAACTGGTTTGTAGCATCCAGGGAATTCCTCAGGGTACAGTATGTGATTTCAGGGACCTGTATCAGCTGCAAAAGCCCCGTCCTTTAGAAAGGTGACTACTGCCTTTTACTTCTCTACAAGAAAGCAAACTTGTTGGAGGAACTAGTCATTACATGATCAGCTGTTGCAGCTTTTTAGTCTCATGCCCAATAAAAAAATTAAGACAATGTAATTCAAGAAGTAAATGTAATCTGGAAACAATCTCTTTAATGGGGCCTCATGTACCCAGAGTAACGTGCGTGTGTTTGCTGCTGTCACCGTGGCAGGGGAACAGAGTGACTCCAATCTCCAGACTGGGTAAATGGTGGCAGCTCCCCCATCGTGGGGAGGAGTGCAAGTATCAGCTGCAAAGCCAGTTCTAACTGAATTACATAAGTGTCCATCTTACAGAGCTGGCCTTTCATCACTACTCCAGCTGTAATTCTGAGCTTAGCATTTACAGCACTGGAACAGATTTTCTTCAGAATTCTACCTTTGAAAAAACACTGCATTATTTTTCTCTTTGCATTTTTTTTCATTATTCATTATATACAATTCAACTTCTCTTGATATTGGGAAACAGTTCTGACCTGCACCCAGGCAGTGTTAACCTGCAACCGCAGCAGGTCACTTCAGTTGGAACAAACATATAAAGTATTAACATCAGACTAAAAATCTGCATCTTCAAGTGACCAGACACAAAGCTCTTAACTGGGAACTGTAATAGATGAGTAAGAAAAAAAAATAAACCCAAGAACTTCATACATGCCCTGATATTTATGTGAACATGTAAAAACATACAACGCATAACACAGAAAAATACGGAGCAACATCTAAAAAACACTCGATGACCACAAGTATCAGCCCAATGCACAATTAGCCTTTAAACCCTGTGGGTCTGAGCTGAACCCAGAGCACAGCAAAGCCTCCCTCAGCGTGTGCAGGCAGGTGAGCAGTGCTTACCATCCCGGGACATGCCCACAGCCAGGCATTTCTGTAGCCGGCAGTGCTGGCAGCGGTTGCGGCTGGTCCGGTCGATCAGACAGTTCTTCTGCCGGGGACAGGAGTAGGTGGCATTGCTCTGCTGACTCCTCCTGAAAAAGCCCTGCCGTGCGAGTGCAAAATACAAGTCAAGAAGCTGTTAACTGGTGCAGCAGATAAAGACTCTGAAAGGCAGCGTACCTAACAGAACATGGAGTTCAAGGGCTCTATAGTCAACTAAAGGAAGTTAAGAGGGTTTTGGTGGTGGGGGCTTTTTTCTCTCCTAGAAACAAACAAAAAACAGTAACTAGCAAGAAACAGTTCATGAAAAGATGTTATAACATGTTAAGGAAATACACGTTTATCCACTGATTTTACAGATCCCATATTACAGATGGTACACCAGTTCTTTCCAAAGGAGATAAAACTAATTATAGACCCAGATTTCCTGGATTTTCTATCTTTCCTGGGTCAGCACAGATCTCCAAAACAGGGAGGATTCAGCAGCTGCTCCCCTGTTCTGCTCTTTGCAGTGGCAGGCTCTGACATTCAGCCTCACCAATGTATGCACGTTTAAAAATACTCAGCACTGAGCACTGTCTCCTACAAAGAACAACTTTCTAAAGGAATTTTATATACTCACAGAATCATTAAGGTTGGAAAAGACCTCTAAGATCATTGAGCCCAACCATTATCTCAGCACCACTGTGCTCACCATTAAACCCCAAGGGCCACATCCACATGCTGCCTTCAACACTTCCAGGGATAGTGATTCCACCATTTCCTTGGATAGCCTGCTCCAATGCCTGACCACCCTTTCAGTGAAGAGGTTTTTTCTGATATCTAAACTTCTCCTGCCACAACTAGACGCCTTTTCCTTTTGTCCTGTTGCCTGCCTGACAGCAGAGCCCGACACCCCCCCCGGCTCCCCCCTCCTGCCAGGGAGTTGCAGAGCCAGAAGGTCCCCCCTGAGCCTCCTTTTCTCCAGGCTGAGCCCCCCCAGCTCCCTCAGCTGCTCCAGTCCTTCCCCAGCTCTGGTCCCTTCTCTGGACACACTCCAGCCCCTCAGTGCCTCTCCTGCCTGAGGGGCCCAGAACTGCCCCAGCACTGGAGGTGCCCCGGCAGTGCCAGCACAGGGAGGGCACTGCCCCGGCCACCCCACTGCTGACACTTTGTGAGTCAGTTTGGTGCTGACAACTGAGGTTCTGCTCCACTGGGCGCAGGTTTAGACTCTCAAGGAGGGGGAAAGCCAACCCACGTTTTGTGTGTGATGTGTTTGCTGAGTAACCCCATCTCCAAAGGAGGGCAGCGCTGGGAGGTTCCACCCCGCTCCAGCTTTCCTGCCTCCCTCAGAGCAGTGGTGTCATTCCCACTACACCAGCTGCTCTCTTTGAAGTCATGTCATCCTTTAGCCACAGGCTGCCCAAACATAAGCTGGTGTGTGTGTAATACCTACTTCACAAGGATTCTGCAAAGATGGAGTCATTCTAAAGAGGCACTTGAGATCAGTGAGCACAGTATTTCAGTTTTACGTTGCCACATAATGGATTAATTAACAGTGCTGCAAAGAAAATAGTTCCTCGGCAAGGCTGGGCACCTTTTAATTAAAGCTGGACTTTTCCCAATGTTTTATTTACTCGAGGGCTGCAGGCTGGAGTCCCTGGGCACAGCACACTGTCCAGACACCGGGGAGACAAACAGGGGAAAGGGCTTCTGCATGGCAAATCTCAAGGGAGAGACTTCCCAACAAACTGCCTGCAGACAGAGACAGGGGAAACACTGAGACAAAGCCCCTGCTCCGTCTTAGAGGAGGGCACCAGTCTGTGTCCATTATGCCCCTTTTATTAAAACTTTACTGGGGAAACATGGGGTATAAAGAAAAAAGAAGGAAATTCAAGGTGCTGTCTTCAATCCTCTTTTCCTGTACATTATTTCTCACCCTTTTATTCTGGTCTTTGTTTCTGTTTGATTGAACTTTCAGCTGTTTTTCCATGTTTGTCAATAGTGAGATGATTGTACAGCACATACTGACCTCCAACTGAGTGCATTTCACCCCAAAGAAAACCTGAAATACCGTGGAAATTTCTACCATCCCCACATCACAACTAATCCCTCTGGAGGAACCAACTCTTCGGTTAGAGAGCTTCACTTCTGAGAGCCCCTTCATGGACGCTGTCACTCCAGTGCAGGTCCACAGGCAAGTGCAACACCATTCCCCAGGAAAACAGGATTAGGGACTGAGCTGACATGGGGCTGACTGATCAAGGTTCTGCATCAGTCCCCAAAAATTTCAGTTCTCCAAACACCTTTTCAGTTGCACTGAATCACATGCTCACAGAGGAACCACATGAACTCTTCTGCCACCGCCGAGATCCTGAGAGTCAGCTTAATCAATGTGTCCTAAAACCTCCAGGATCTAAATGTTTTCCTTCAGCTGAGATATACTGAGGCTGAGCTGCCAGTCTGGCATTTCTCTTTATTAAGAACAGTCTTGTCAAGCTGAGGATTATTTTTAGTATTATAATGGAGAAAATACTGGGCTTTTTCCTTTTCCAGATTTTCCCTAGAGACACAGCTGCTCAATACATTTTAGTGTACCACGTATCAGCTAAGTTACAGCTTCAAGCTAAATTTTCAGTAGAGTAGAACTGCCTGAAACTAGGGCTTTTAAAAGCACTTGCACTTTACAAACCAGAGATACAGTAGAGTGCTTTTAAAAACAAACCCTATGAAAAGATCAGCAGGCACTAAAGAAACAAAAAATCCACCTTGCCACAAACTTCGAAAACTAATCTAAACTTGTCCAGAGCACAGAAACACATGTATCTGAGATTTGGGAGTGAATTTACAATGAAGGTCAACTGAGGATTTTTGCTCTCAAAGTTTTTCTACATTGCTATGAGAAATAAAATAGGTTTTTTTAATATATAGGTGTATCACAAAGTTGTAAGATATCCAAGTTCCAAACTGGACCTGGGTATCAGGGTCTTTTTCGGCCAGATAAGGAAAATATAAAAGTTCCCAATAATTAAAATCTTTCAGGGCCATGTGGAAATTTTGTACACAGGGGTTTCTCTTCTCTCTTTGGGCTAAGAACAAAGGAAGATCCTTTGTGACAGGGGACACCTCGCAACCGATCAAAAGGAAGGGAAAGCCCCTTTTCAGAGAAAAGAAACCTTTTTAGGCAAAAATGAACATATTTAAACTTATCTGAAAAAGGGTGGGATTTTGTGAAACTATAAAATGTATGAAAATTAAACCCAAAGGGTCTTTCTCCCCAAAAAACTCGGTGTGAGACCAGACCCAGCGCGCTGAATAAATTCTTCCTTTTGCTTCATAAGTTTTTGCCGTCTTTCTAAATTCAAGAGAGAGAGATTTCTCACATTGCTGTCCTTCACTTGTGAGTTTCCCAAGCTCTTGGTGGTCCTTGTGCTCTCGCATCACTGTAAGCCACGGGGGGAAGCCCCTACTACAGGAGTAAATACAGTTTGGTTTTACCCCTCTATTAAAAGAAGAGGAGAGGCGCTGTGTTGTGCTGCTCCCTCCCTCCCTCCTGCCAGAGGCAGGGGCTGGCGGTGATTTCCCCCGGGAAGGAGAGGTGGCTGCATGCCTGGTGCTCGTGTATGCTCCGAGCCCTGTGGAGCCACGTGCCTTCAATGGCAGAGCGCTGGCAGCCAGCCCCGCACGGCGCTCCGGGGATGCCACGGAACAAACCCCGCTGCACCGGGAGCTGCCGCTGGAACACCCCGGCCGCGGCTCCGGCCCGGGGCAGGAGCTCTCCGGGGCCAGCGCAGAGCGCCGGCTCCACTCCCAGCTCCGCATCCTCCTCATGCAGAGGCACGAAGGCGGTGCCGGGAGCAGAGCAGAGCAGAGCAGAGCAGATCACAGGCCCCGGCTCCAGCTCTGCCTTTCAGACTCCTATTTATACACAACACAACCTATGGGTTTTCACGGGCTGCCAAGAAATCAGGTTTGGGGGAAAAAAGAGGGCGCAGGAACTTTTCATCTGCAAGTCAGCTTGAATAACAACTTGTTAAAAAGGACCTTTGAAATGTAAATAGCAGTTTTTGCGAAGTCTATTAATAGTTTCAGTCCCTTCAGTGCCGGGTTTGTGTCTGGGCTGCTCCTCACCCAGCCGAGCCTGCCGTGTCCCAGCCCAGCTCCCCTCCACCGGCTCAGCCTGCAACGCTGAGCTCATGTTTGGTCTTTTGACAAATTTTCATTTAATGAATTGATTCCTACAGTTCATTAACATACCCACTTCCACTTCTGTATACACATATGTCTTAATTAGCTGCTCATTGGCTGTTTAATTACAAGAAAACAGCTGACAGCTGCCTTGCTGCATCCTAATGGCAGAGGGTTTGGAATGACTGTGTGTGAGCCTGTGACAACAAAGGCTTATTCATAATCCCATGATTTATGGCTAATACTTAAAGACTTCCACGTATCATTAAGTTTTGCAATATTCTGAGCAATTAACAATTAGTTGGGGGGGAGTCATCCTTTTACTGTTTTCCAAAGCAAACCACCACAAATTTTCTTCAAAGGAACATCAGAAAAATACACTGTAATAGGCCAACATTCAAATGGGATTTTTAACCCTTTTACGAAAATGAGCAAATATTTTACTTGTAAAGGGAGGAGAGCACTGTGACAATATTGTCTAATAAACTACGTTAATAAAATATTTGATAACAAAGGTATAGTGCCACTGAAAACAGAGCAAAAATGTTCAGTTTTACACAGGTAATAAAGACAGGAGTGAGGCGAGAAGGGCAGGGACAGCACACCAGGTCTTGTTTCCTGAAGTAACAAACCCAGATGTTCTTTGCAGGTACAATGAAGAAGATCATCTTGGGTCTTAAAAGACACAAGAGACAAAAGCCAGCACTGATAAACCTTTGAGAGCACGAGAAGTGCCCAGGAGTGCCCTGCATGGTGGTTTTGCAAGACCAGCTGTGCAGTCAGGTAAAGAGAGGGATCCCAGCATGCATTCGTGGGGCAGGTGGGCATGAACCAACACTGCTGACTGCAAAGGCAAGGCACTGCACCTGGAAATCCAGTTAAATTACACAGGTCATTCACAAAAGGTTCATTTCCAACTAAATTCCTTGCTATGTCCCTTGAAACATTCAGGTATTTTCTGACAGCGTGGAACTGGATTCCACTTTCAGCTCTGAGAAGAGAGTAGGGATGTGTACAAACCACTCTCCCAGCACAGTCCCTCCTACAGAATAAAGGTTGGTAATGGGTTCCCACAGCTCATGGCTGAGGAGGTGCTCCATACAGATGCCAGCTTTTTCAGTAGTGCTCCTACAACACAGTATTCCCAGTCTGACACAGGAGAACAGACTTCTATTTCTGAGTTGTGGCACAGTCTTTGTGTCATTCCTCATCCATGCTTCTGAGTAAAATCTTTATATGATTAATCTCATCTTCCTTTTTCCCCCCATCAAATGTTGTATACTGGATATCAGCAATGGTCAGAGAGAAAAAGAACCCTCTCTTTTAAAATTTATTTTATCTATAATAAGCCACAGGAGCCCTTCTAGATAAAGTGTAAAACACAGCCTGGCTAAAAAAAATAATTTTTCACTTATGGGGAGGAGAGGTGTTATTTTTTTTTTTAAAGGCATATTCAAACAGCTAAATAGGCTGATGGGTTGGGAGCACTCAATGGTGCTTGTGCAAAACACTGCCACTAACTTCATAAAAACAGTCAGCAACATCACAGCAAGGTAGGAAATGAAAACTTCTCGAAAAACACTAATGGGTTTCATTACAAATCTTCAATTCTACTTATGTGAAATGCAATATAACAAAAAAAACGGTCAGGCAACTTTCAACTCTGTGAAATGCAAGGGTTGCCAACCTGCAGAAGAGCAACGGGATCAGCAACAGGCAATTTGACCTGAGCTGGTCTGTGATTCCACACATACAGATTAGAACTGCAAAGTATGTCTTCACAACTAAAACCTCACTTTAAGTTTTAAATAAATTCTATTTCTGGTGGTTATTAGTATTTGCACAGTAACATTTCAGTTAATGTTACTACTGAGTAACACTGAAGTTCACACTAAACTGGAGTGAAAACCAGCAGGAGCTGAAAAGGCCCCACTTTGCTGCTGCTGCTGCTGCCTGTAGGTCACCCCTGCCAGGCTGGGGCTGAGAGGGCAGCAGCACATCTGCTCCCTCCTGCCAGCTCAGGCCCTGCTCCCTCCTGCCAGCCAACCCAGGGGTGGGTCTGGGGCACTGGGCAGGACCCCCCTGGCTGCCCTGGGACTGTGGGTGCAGGATGTGCTCCAGAGCCAGAGCACAGCACTGGGACTGGGTCTTCACAGCCAAGTCCTTGTTCCAGAGGAAGGTTCAGCAGAACATGAACAGCAATGAAACGTGCTCCAACCTGCAGCAGTCGCAGCCACAGAAAAGCTGGGAAAAAAACCCATTCCAACACACACCTGGCTCCCCTGGCAGAAGCCAAGCTATGCCAACCTTTTCACCAGCCAAAATAGTTCTGCTGGGTGAGACTTTGTTGACATTACTGTGGAAAGGTGTAGCACAAACAGAATCCATCAGCCACAGCGGGGCCTTTTAGTGCCGTTTAGGTCACGATCATTTCAACTCTTGCTGTGACTTGTGTCCACCAGCACTGCCCTGTCTGTCACTACCTGCAGGTCATCTGGGCTCTGGCACTAAGACAACTGAGCTGCAGAGTTCTTTCTCTCCTGAAAGGAAAAGAACTCAGTTAACTAAGTTGATATTCATTGGCTTTTAAATTCTGCCTGAAATTGTATGGCCACCAAACTTTATTGTGCTCTTCCAAGAGAGGGAGAAAATGCCAAACTCATGGGCCACTGTTTTCCTTAGCACACTCTGCCTTGAGGTCCAGATGTGTTTCAGTGTGCTGAGCACACCTGCCTGCTTGCCTTGCCCTCTGCCCTTCCCACCAGCTGACCATGCCAGTGGGATCCTCAGTCCTGCAATTTATCCAGCATTCAAAGGCAAATCCTTTGTTCTAACAGGTAAGGAGCTGCACACATTCCTCACTATCAGCAGGCATCTGTTGTTCTGACTGCTGCACAAAGGACCTTTCTCCTAATAACTCACATTTGCATTTATTCCCGGGAAAGCAGTCCCTCCAAGGGAGCAGTGCTCCATGGACAGCCCTGTCTCCCACCTGCAGTGCCCAGGGCCTGCCAGCTCCTCCTCCCCAAGGTGAGTGTGAGCACAGGGGCTGCTCCCCCCCTTTCCTGCTGCTTCTGGAGGGGGCTTTGCTCACTCAGCCCTCAGGGGAAGGCCAGGCTGAAGAGCTGCATGAGGACCACACAGAGGATAACAGGGCTGGCAGCTTTCCTTTCCCTTCCTTTCCATTCCTGTCCTTCAGCAGCCACTCCTGCTCCACCACAGCCGTGTGGAGAAGGCCCAAGAGCACCACACCAACCTCTGTCTGTGTGCCAGGATGTTTGCCAGGGATCTCCAGACAGCCTCTCACGTATCCAGGTCCCAGACCACCTAAGGATTAAAGAGGTCTTGGACCTTGAACACAACTGGATCTCCTTTGACAAGACAGTCCCACAGCAGAACTCTCCTGCAAACATCTGCCACTTCCCTCAGCTGGCATCTGATAAAGGCTGCTCAGCCACATAAACCTGCAAAAAGTCATCACTTTGTTATCAATACATTTTCAGTGCATTTCTTGCATTTTCCATAGCAACAGCAGTCAGAAAGGGCAGAAGGTGCTCTTCCCACATCATTCTAAGATTCTTAAATTTATTCTTTTTCCTTCCTTCTTACCGATACTTCCGTGAGACTCAGAGAATGTGCTACTGAAAACACAAAAACCTTTGGAAAACCACAGAAGAAATCTTTATAATGTGGATGCAGAGAAGAAGGGCTTGTGGTTATCAAACATGTCAGGAGAGCAGACTAAAAACTGTCATGAATTCTTCATCCCTGAAGTGTAGATTAACAGGAGAAAACCTACCAGCAGGGGACTGCAACATGTACACACACGAAGAGAGCAACAAGCTGGAGCTTGGCTGTGCACACTGTGTCACCCCAAGCCAGGGCTGGCATCCTGCACTGGTGAGCAAAAGGACTGACCACTTCACTCCACTCTCACCTGGCATTGCCCAGTTTAATTCCTGCTTGTGAACAAAATAGAAATGCTGCTGGTGTAACCCTTGTTCACTAGAGTTACCAAGGTACAGCTCCAGGGCAAAATCCAGAGCCCAAACCTCAGGCAGCAGTGGTTGTATTGCAGGGAACAGGCACTGCTTCCTGCAGGACCTGAGCCTGCTGAACAGCAGGGGCATGGAAACACCACCTCCTGCCAAACAGAATGGATTTGTAACTGCAGCTGAGTACAAACCAAAACAGAGGGGCAGAGAGCTCTCACCTATTTCAGCACAGCTTCATACAGTTTACAAAGCAAAAGCAGAGAGGGAGAGGCAAGAAAGCCCAACGCCCCCTCGGCTGAGCCCACTGAGCTGACTCCTGCTGCTCTGCCTGAAGCAGATCATCCTCCTGTCCCTGTTCTGCTGACTCAGAGAAAGGCAGTTTACAGCACACACAGCACAACTGTGAGTCTGAGGATTGTCCTGAAATCTGTGGCAGTGCAGGTGTGTGTGTCACAGAAATGTACTATTTAAAACCCAAATAAAACCAGTGCTTCAGAATCCCCAACAGTTTTATATTCTTTGAAATGGAATCCACTGATCCTACTTAGGCCCAATGCTTGCTCTTTAAAAAAAGGAAGGAAAATAATCACTATCAAAAGGCTAAGTGCTGTTTTCAGACTTAATATTTTAGAAGCTTACCTTGCAGCCTTCACATGTAATGACACCATAATGGATTCCTGATGATTTGTCTCCACAGATCTTGCATGGAATAATTTCAATTTGAGCTGCAACAGAAGCACGCAACCAGTTAATTACATTTTCTTTTAAACACCTTATAAAAGCATTCCCTGATCAGCATTTGTACAGTGAAAACTAATAACCTGCTAAACATTATACTGCATTAACTATTCATTGCTGAACTGCAAGGATCCCCTAGAGCTTTGGACTAAATTATGGCTGCTCGTTATATAATAGCTTTTGGGTTATTAAAATGGGTCATTTGAGAAGGTGTTTAAGAACCCACAAGAAGGCTGGAATCAGCATTTCAAAGCCAAAAAGAGTAGGAGAGTTCACATTTTGGCCAAAGAGCTAAGATGACACTAGAAAGGTTTCTTCCAATCGCATTCATGTGAGATCATAGCAGGCAATTTTAAAGTTTGCCCTGCCCGATATCAAATGCACCACTTTTCCCAGAGGGGCCACTCAGCTCCCATGGCCAGTCCTAAAGTGGGGGAACAAGGTGAAGAGCAACTGCATTTTGCATGAAAAATCCATAACTTTGTATCTGAGCAGAAAGGGAACCATCAGCACGTATCTGTGTGTGCTCTCCCACAGAACAAGCGAGGCAGGAGCACACACAGCAGCACTGAGTCCCTCCACTGCAGCCAGAGCAGTCGGCCCAGCCTGGAAATGCTGGGCAGTTGGAAGGTGTGGAAGCCCTCATTTTCTGTATTGAAATCCATCCATATAAACACACCTACTGAACTCAACTCGCTGTGTGATTATCTCTAAATCAAGCACCTTCCCATCTGAGCATCAGGATTAAGAGGGGACTCCTCTATGCCCAGGAACTCTTTTGGAGTCCCTGGCTGCAGTATTTTACTGGCAAGTCTGTTTGGACAGGGTTAAGGCACTGCTTCACCCTATGGAATAGCAGCAGCCTGCATCTCCCATGTGCCTGGCTGTGCTCCCAAACACCCCCTGCTCCAGGCAGAGACTGGAGAGCCCAGGACAGCCCCCTGTGCCCAGGACAGCCCCCTGTGCCCAGTGGGGTCGGGATGAGGCTGCAGCAGTGCCCTGGTCTGAGCAGGACAAACACCCCTCGTGCTGTGTCTGGAGCTGTGACACGTTAGCAAGTGCTGTTCATCTCCTGAGGAACTGAAATCCAGTCACCAGCTGCCTGCCTGTTCAAGAGAGCTGCTATTTCATCCAGTTTAGCTATCCAGGCTATGACAACACATAAAATCCCATCTAATGCTACTGTCTTACAGTGCAGCAGCTTAACTTCAGTTGTACTCAACGCTGTTTTCAAAAATTCATGTCTGCTCTTAAAAACACTGCATTTTACATGCTATTAAATCCCTAACTGGCTGCTTAATATTAAATAAGAATCATCTTGCAGTGCTCCTGTGTGCTCCAGTTCACTGCAGCTCAGGATCTGGCCCAAACCATAAGATAACTATAAAGCAGGAGAGCAGAAGACTTGTACCACAGCACTGACTGTGCTGAAATATTCCTTCAAAACATTCTCCAGGTGACACCAAGTGCAATGATGGGGGCAGCTGAGTAGCACCCAAATGGGACTTATTTGCTCCCAGGAATCCAAGAGCAGCTGAAATGTCTGCTGGGGAAAGCAGTGCCCAACAGCCATGGACTACACTGCAGTTCACTGCAGCTTTCAGGATATTTTCATACAGCAGGACACCACTTGCATCTCCTTCCATTGTAAGGACCTTTGTATTCCTGACCTTTGATCCCCCACCGTCCTTGCAGTGACAAAACCACAGGCTGAAATCAAAAGGTCTGTTTAGGACACTTAAGGAAGGAAACACTTCTTCCCCCAAAATGGTTTTTAGTTCACTTTGCTCTCAGCAAACACATTAAAAACAATGGAGCAGGAAATGAACTAATAAAAGGGGAAAATAACGTGTGTGCTGTTTCATTAATGTGTTACATAAATTATTACTGGGGCATCATATGTTTATGAACAAAGCTTGGAGCAGAAAGGGCAGCACAACCCCCCCTCACATCCACAGACTGAAGAACAGGCTGAAACCCACAGAAACTCAGGATTTGTACAATGTGCAGTTCAAATTCAGAGAGCAATCCTGTGGGCAAATTCCAGAATAGCTCTACCAAATCCCAGTGGTGCCTTTCCAACACAGGATTATTTCTCTGCTGTGCTGCAGTGAATCAGCAGCCTTGTGCAGCTCCTTGGACAGGGCACTGACAAGGCTTATCTCCACAGCTCCATGGCAATGTATTTTTTACATTTCCCATTTATATACATAATTACTGCCTTATTTTGAAGAGGTATGATATAATTGGATCTGGTTTATCTACAATCTCCAGCACGTTAGTTAAATCACCCATGAAGCCTGTCTATGCAATCCCTATTTCTTAAGCAACAGGACATTTGCAGAGGGTTTCTGAAGGAATGTAACATGCCTTCAAAGTGATGGCCTAAAGCTAGGTTAGTAATAGTCTAAAAGGTGCCATAATTAGTCCCAAATGCATTTTCCAGGGTGCTTTACTGGCAGAAGAGAATCTCCACAGATTCACAGGCTCCAGCTGTGCCAGCATTTACCCACCATCGTTTGTATGAGCAACGGCACCAAATCAGGTACTCAAATTTACATCTTCAAGGTACTGCCTTTCAATCAGGCACAGAGCATTTAAAACTCCAAGTTCCTGTTTCACTCAGAGACACAGGCCAGTGGCTGGATCTCGGCAGCAGAACTCACTCGGGACTGCCACAACCAATTGTAGCAGAAATGACTGCACAGAGAGATCAGATCAATTACTGCTCCACGTGGGGCCTGTGCAAATGCACTCATTGAAATGGAACCCCTGTCACGTTCATACACTTTCCACAGAGCATGAAAGGACTTAAAGATACTTTAAACTCACTAAATGCAAATTGCCTGCGCCAAGATTATGCATTTTTTCTTACAAGGGTGAAAATATTTTCCCCACTTTTAACTTTGACATGCAAATATGTACTTGCTAAAACCTTGTTCTTATGCAAACAAGGCAGGTGGGAAATATTTTTACATGTCAAGAATATGTTCCGACTTGGTTTCTCACATTCCCAGAGTTACTTAAAGCTTCCTACTGTGCTCAAATTAATTGTACCTGTTCTGTGCTTACATTTATTTATATGGTATATTTTTCAAGATTACATAAAATACTCTAATTCATGTTTTAGACTAGAATTAGCCTAAATTACAGTTTACAATTTCTGTCTCCTGGGGTGGTGCTCAGGCTGATTCTGGTTCATGCATGAGCAAATTATTTCTTAAATATGAATTGCAGAAAAAAATAAACTCTTGTGGTTGCTTAGAAACCACCACAGATACCCAGGTGACAGATGTAGTTTGTATTCCCAGATTAAAGGCCTAAGACTCTTTCACACCCTGAAATAACAGTGCTCCAGAATACTACCAAGGATGTCCTGTGCCAAAGGCAGCAACGAGGAGGAATAAAAGCCCAACCAAACCACCAAGAGCAACAAATGCGAGCTCAGGCTCCAAGAGCCACTGCAGGCACAGAACAAGCTGCTACAGAAACAGGTCCTGAGAGAAAGAAGGGACCATTCAAGGGCTGGAGGCAGCAATCCCTACAGACTGATGTCACAGCAGCTCATCTCCACAGGAGAGGGCCTCTGACAGCCACCACCACCTCTCAGTCTATGGGCCTTCACCTGGAGCTGTGCCATCACCAGACTTCCCTTCGGCAATGTCAGATGATCCTCATTTGACAGCAGGAGAAAGGAGTGTGGACTCTCATCTGCTCAAAATCAGACAGAACAGGAACTTGAGCCCAAGTATCACAGGGAAAAGACCCCTCTTTTTACCCCCTGAACCTTTCCTCTTCCTCCATGCACTGCCTGCACATGGCAGCTGCCTGAAGCAGCTCTGGTACGCTGCAATAACACACTGCCTCCACCTCACTCCTAGGGAATGTGCCTACCACACAACCAGAGACAGCACGAAATGACATCTTTTCCTGGCACCTGAAACACAAGATTATGCCTTATTCCCTCCTGTTCCCCAAACCTGGAACAGTTTCACTGGGTTTGCCTGCCTTTTTGGAGCTTCCTCCTCCAACCAAACTCTCTAGACAGCCTCTCCCTTTTTGTTAATTCCTGCACCATGAAACGTTGCTTTATTCCTTGTCCAGTTTGAGCAGGAGAGAAGGAAGAAAATCCAATTCTGTGTTTGTGAGGGAATGCTCTGCACGAGCTCATCATAATCTTGAATTTCTTCCCTTCTGACTTGTTGGGCAGACTCAATTCAGGGCTGTGCAGCCAAGTAAAGCACAGGGCATCCTTTTCCCCAGTTCTGTCATTTAAACAGAAACACACTGAGCCTCAACACAGCAAAGTGTATTACCAGTCCACCCTGAAGAACACATTTTTCAGAAGAAAAAATTATTTTCCAAAGACAGAAGTTTCTTCCTCCCCATTGAGGTGTCTGAATGAAATGTTTGTTCCTAGTGAATTAATTGTCTTGGGGTAGAGAAAGGATTTTTCTGTTCCTCCTCCTGCTTTCACACTGTTATTTTAAAATGGTACATGCACACAAATAACACTTTTTTTCCCAATTCACAACAGGTATGAAACCTCAGATTTGGTATCCTGGGAAGGGCTCTTCTGTGGAAGCAAATATTGGTTCCCATTCCTGCCTTTTAGGTGAGATTCACCTCGCTGACCTGAGCTATCTTGAAAGTTGGGTACCTGATTGAAGCTAATTGTCTTGTCTGCTTCTACAGTGCTGAGGAAGGGAGGAAGAAAGAAAGAGAAAAGGAAAGGAAGGGAGAAAGAGAAAGCAGAAGGAAAAAGGGCATGATTCATCTTATTCAAGACAAGCAAAATGAACCCCTGAGTGGAGATGCCTCCTCTTCACTCAACAGTGAAGGAATTTAATGATACCTTAATTACAAGCCTAACTATTAGAAGGTGAAAGTTGGGTGAATCTGACTGTCTCTTACTAATTCTGAACTTAAAAATTAGCATTTTCTGGCAAGGCAAACCTGTGTGGGAAGTGCTCCCTTCCCCCCCAGT